TATGAGTTTAACATACCAGTGTATGGAACTGAGTGATTTATCTCTTGATCAGGATGACTTTAAAGAATTATTACATGATGACCTAATGGATTAATAAATTATAAAATCATAATAATTCAAACCCAGATCTTAATCCAAAGATCTACATGAATTAGATTAAAACATACTTACTTTACAATATTTACATTTGCAAATGTTTTCTTTTATATAACACTATTAAAAGCAACGCGTATCTATATCCGTATAAACACGGGTTCCTCGCGTCATAAACGTTCGACGTAATTTCTCAGTGACGTCATAAAGGGTCGACGCGCAATCAGAGGATCAAACACGTGCCGTTGGGTTTGAAAAATAAAACGTTTCACATGTTAAAGATTATAATCAGGCAAATATAAACCATGAATAAGTCACAAATGTAAATATAAGTAATAAGGTATCATTTTAAAACATCTATCGGGCTATAAATACGGGTTGGTACGAGATCAAATTTACCATGAAGCCCTTCGGGCTTTATGGAATTTGATCTCGTGACCAACCCGTATTTATATCCCGATAGATGTTTAAAAATGATACCTTATTTCTTAAATATTTACATTTGCAAATGTTTTCCCTTAAATAACACTACTGAAAGCAACGCGTATCTATATCCGTATAAACACGGGTTCCTCGCGTCATAAACGTTCGACGTAATTTCTCAGTGACGTCATAAAGGGTCGACGCGCAAACAATGGATCAAATACGTGCCGTTGAGTTTGAAAAATAAAACATTTCACGCATTAAAGATTATAATCAGGAAAATATAAAATATATAATAAGTCATAAATGTAAATATAAGTAATAATGTATCATTTTTAAACATCTATCGGATATAAATACGGGTTGGTACGAGATCAAATTTACCATAAAGCCCTTCGGGCTTTATGGAATTTGATCTCGTGACCAACCCGTATTTATATCCCGATAGATGTTTAAAAATGATACATTATTTCTTAAATATCAATCTTAACTTTAATAACTTTAGAACTTTCACTCTGGCACATTCATACTCATTTAGCAAGTTTATATTAAAATACTTTATTATTTCATTCATTACCTTTAATTTTAGTTTATGATCACCTAATTAGTTTAAGAAAAGGATTTACTTACTATTTGTGGATGTTTAACATACTCCAATATATATATAAATCAAATTATAACAGACAACCAGATCTCTACATCCTTCTCAGAGAAAAATCTCTGAATAGAATCATAAAACAAAGGTTTCCCGCCTGAATGGACAACTTTGACCAAACAATACCAACTGACCAATAGAATGTAGGAAAACAGACAATACCCTTATTTATAAATGGACTAATCCATAAAACTACCTTAACCCATAGTCTTTGGGTTTAACCATTATCTAAATAGGGATGTTTATGATTTAAACATATGAATAAATAATATATTAGTAATGCAGGTGCAGCGCTTGTATAGATGTATGGATGAATGAATGAATGAAATTCCTGAAATAAAATATATAGCATTAATTAAAATAAAATAAAACTAAGTACAACTACCACATATAAAGCTCTTTTTCTTGGTAATAGTTATATATGAACACTTATATTCCAATACCCTTTCAAAAATGTTACTCATTTGGGACTAAAAATGCTCCCTTTTTGATTTTCATAAGAATACTAGGTGTGAAAGAATGGGAAAATCTGGCATGCTTTTCGTTTTCAGAGAAGAAGAAAAGCGTATTTTTCTGTCCTTGAGTGCATTTGTGCATCTACATATATCTATTTAATTATGAATGTCGAAAATAATATCTTGTATTTAAGATATTTTTCTTTGATCATAACATCAGTACACCAGTGTGCAGTTTTTGTTTTACTCTTCATTATCTTCAAAATGTATCTAATGTATGTGTACGCCAAAGAGTTTAGCCGGTATTTGACGCAACTATTACAGGCACGTAGAATCGGGGGGGGGGGGTGGCTTTTGGTTGCAGTATTGTCAAATAAGGGTAATATAAGGGGAATGCAGTGTTTGAGTGAAGAAATTGGTACTAAAAGAAGTTGGATACCCTCCCCCCCCAACCCCCATCACGAAATAGGATTTTTCGAGATTTGCACAATGTTCCCTTTTTTTCTTTTTTTTCTTTTTTTTTTTTTTTGCTTGTCAAGTTTTTTCAGTTTTTTCAGGTAAGTTGAAAATTTTTTTTTCTCGGGTTGGCCCCCCCACTTTCAAAAACGATGCTACGTCACTGTAGTAATCATCTAAAACAACTCCAATATTTAATGTGAGCATGGAACATTGTCTTTGATATATAATCTTTCGATTTCAGCGATATAAAGTGAAAAAGAAGCTATACAGTTTTCCCGGTGACCAAATAAATATTATGCACTATAACGACGAAAACTTCGTGAAGCTGTTAAATCGTAAACGTAGTAGACCGTCATGCTTTGCGACTCATTCAATTGATTGGAGAATGGGTTTGACGAAAACATCGTCACGTAATGAAAAATGCCTTCCATAAAACGTAGTGTACCCGACCTGCTAAAGGTACAACAATGAATTTTTACACATTTATTCAACATCATATTTCCTGTCTACAGAATAAACTATTAGACGCGTGGTTTATCTTTGAATAAATTGTAAATGTTTCCGAAAGCAATGGTATGACCACGCATCCCAACCTCAAAATACGACGTGTTTCTATATAGTGAATCTAAAGGAAACAAATCTTTGTCAGCCAGTATAATTAAGAAATAAGGTATCATTTTTAAACATCTATCGGGATATAAATACGGGTTGGTCACGAGATCAAATTCCATAAAGCCCGAAGGGCTTTATGGTAAATTTGATCTCGTACCAACCCGTATTTATAGCCCGATAGATGTTTTAAAATGACACCTTATTACTTATATTTACATTTGTGACTTATTCATGGTTTATATTTGCCTGATTATAATCTTTAACATGTGAAACGTTTTATTTTTCAAACCCAACGGCACGTGTTTGATCCACTGATTGTGCGTCGACCCTTTATGACGTCACTGAGAAATTACGTCAAACGTTTATGACACGAGGAACCCGTGTTTATACGGATATAGATACGCGTTGCTTTTCATAAAGTTATATAAAAGAAAACATTTGCAAATGTAAATATATGAATTTAATTCACTGGTGTGATGTGACATAACTGTGCCGTAAAATTTACAATTTCTACCTCATTTTAGATCTTATCGTAAATTCAAAAGAGGGTGCTAAAAACTAAGTGGTTTAAAAATGACGCCAAAAAAGGGAGGAAGTGGTTATCTTTTTGTCGCAATCTATAGTTCCACTTTTAAATAAAGAAACTCACATAGACTTATAAAATATTGGAACTGACCTGAGGGAGTCAAAATTAGTCCAGATTAGCTAATTTTAAAAGGCACAAGAGATTCAAAGAGAGGAGAGATAGTTTTAATGCCGATTCGCGGTCCGGGTGTCCAAAGTCAGTCAAACCTAAAAGTAAAATTGCCCGTTTGCGGTAAAAATTGAACTCCAATGAGAGGATAAAACTGCCAAAGTCAACTGAGGATCTTTATCTTAAGTATATACATGTACATGTAGGTCTATTTAGAATATAATGTTTTGAAATCAACTGTCCATGAAATTTTAAAGTCACATAAAAAAGATGGGTTTCAATCAGTATTTAATACTAGGGTATCTCGTCAAGAAATGTGTATTGAGGCAGAAGGAGCGAACATCGAGAAGCAACCTTTGACGTTTTCAAACGTCATAACACAAAACGACGACAGCGCCGGGTGATCCTGTAATATCTTTTATATAAAATATAACTTTGATTGATATACATTTGTGTTATGTCTTGTTAAAATAATAAAGAAAAAGGAAGGTATAAAATGTTTTATTTGAAACCTATATACATCTTCAAGCCTTCGCTTGTCGACAAGAAGACACATGATGTTGAAAGCAATGCAGGAGATTTCCAAAAGGCACCTTGAAGATTCCCCCAGTAAAGGTTATAAAGACAACCATATCGAATTAAATTATAATGCACACTCTTTATCAAAGTCATTTTAATGGTGTGATTTGCACTGCTTTATTGTATTCAGATATATGCAATGTTCGGAATTTAACACCGTTACTCTGAGCATTGAGAGTTCAATGATTAAATATTTATTTAAACTATTGTATAATATAACACTAAAACTCATTAACAATTGGTTTATGTGTTTTTACACTTAATGGGGTACAATTTATTTAATATTAAGTGGAAATGTAAATCGTCTTAAATTACCTTCGAACCAAAAAAAGGACTTGATGACGTTTGAGAAATTCAAGTAACCGTGGCAGCAAAAGCAAAATTTGCATCAAATGCATATGCATATTTTTTTTTTACTCTTACATGCACCTTTTAACTTATCTATAACTTCATTTTTTTTATCCTTTTGTTGTATTCTACCGGTTTAGTATATCAGTGGTTTTTAAAATTCATTTACAGTGTACATGTATTTGCTTCACATTCACAATATATTCAGTATATCTTAATTGGAAATTTTCTTTTTCAAGAAATAAATATTGATATCTTTTAGAACATTTCCTGTATTCACAAAATGCACCACAATAAGTGCCGGAACACGTTATATTAATAAGAACTACGAGTACATACAATATTCGACGCTTATAAAGACCCATTGTTTTTGATCCGCCTAACATTCTCATTTGCGTGACCCGTTTGCTGAAAGTTGGAACGGACAACCCTATACAATACCTGCATATAGATTCTTTGACAAGTTCTCCTTTGTCTTGACAACAGATTTTGCTTGGTTTATTTCAATCAATATTCAATGATTAAAAAAACCCAATCACAGACCAATTATCTCTGATATCACAGAACGTTGAATATTTTGCTCCTCCTCCGAATACCCCTTTGAAATATTTAAAACACTGAGCTCTCAAAATCTTCTGAATCACTGATAATTGAAGATTCTAACTTTGATTACATCTTTTTTGTGAGATTTCAGCAAGCAAAGAAAATGGTAAGCACCAATCTATATAACAACAATGGTTCTGAGGTCTATATCAAGATTTTTTAAAAGTATTCTAGATATTGAATGACGTCACTTGGAATTATTATTTCTCTTTAACTTGTTTCAGATTAATTGGATTTTTTTATATCCTAGAAAGATATACCTTGACTCAGTCTGTCTGAAGCAAAACACTTTATTAGGATATTTCAATATTTGAGAAATGTTATAATAAATAAAATCAGATAAATCTTAGTAAACAAAATTGTGAAATGTTATGTAACGTTATGTACTGAATCAATGCATGATCAGCTGTTTGCACCAATCTTGTAAAATCACGTATTTTCGTGGGGTCATATTTTTGTGGTTTGAGGAAAAATTACAGGTTTGAAGGGATTTGGTGTGATTTCATGGATAAAGGGGAAAAACATTATGCTGCAGAATGAAATTCTAATATTTCGCGGTGGATAGGAATTCGTGGGTCTCTACATACCACGAAAAGAAAGAAAATTGACGCCCACGAAAATTAATGATTTCACAGTGGTATTAAAAGTCACACACCGTGGATCCAAACTTAAGGTTTTCCTTAAAAATATGCTTCACTTTGCAAGGCAGTAGCCAAGAGTTTCCCGAGGATAAAGGTGTTTCGACATCGTGACAATGTTGCTTGTTAAAATGCTTTATTCTTCAAACTCTCCGTTCTATTTGGGGTAGTGTTAAGTCATACTTCATGTGTATTTCTTTTTTTTTTTCTTTTCATTTACCAGAAAGAAAAACAGCTAGTACTAAGAAGAATTACACTTATCTTGATACTTCATGTCAGTCATGGTAAGTGATGCAGATCATTAAATTCTCCATACAATAAACAAATTCAATGGAATATCTTGTTTTCAACATAGTAATAGTACGTTGCAAACAATTATAATACATTTATTGTGTGGTTAAAAGACATATGATCTTTTTGTGAAATACTCGTAAAGGTTCATAAAGTTAGAGTTCATTGTTGCAATATTTTCTATCTAGCCTCCGGGAGTACCTGGGATTATGTGGACCCCAGTACCTGGAGTAATACCTATCCCATCTGTGCCGAAACCCACCAGTCCCCCATAGATCTGCTTGAAAACATAACACAAGAGACCAGTCACGAATACTTTACATTGGAACACCACCAAGAATCAATACACGAAAACATGACCAACACCGGACATTCACGTTAGCTTGTTACCCTATACATCTTTTTGTTAAAGCCATAATTGTTAAACTGAATTACAAATGTGTTTCTTCATTAGCTGCAAGATATAGTCACATATTATACTACTTCATCCTAGTTTTTCTGATCACTTGGTTTGTTCGTCTGTATCTTGTGCATATTATTCCAAATTCTGTACTGATTACTAGGGATGGCAACGAATATTCGAACATTCGAATATTCATTCGATGAGTTGATATTCGAATATGAATTTAAGATTCGAATATTCGGTGTTTTTCAGATTTCATAAAAAGAAGTACTGTGATTAATAAATTTTGATTAGAACAGTGCTGGAATTATCCCTGTTTAATTTACTAGCGATCAATTTCGATCACCTGATTTCTTACACTACTTTCTTATCTTATAAATCTTCTAAATTACATGTATTTTGTTTTGAGTAAGGTGTTGTAAAGAATTGTACAATAATGCTTTATGTATAATACAAAACGTACTTTCATAGCTTTTATTAGTTAAAGATACGATCGGATCTAGAATCGAGGACAACAAATGAAATCTAAGAATATTTAAAAGGCGCGAAGAGTATACTTATCAGAATAAAATTAATTGATCATTGAATGAATGTCCGATAGAATTAATCTGTAAGAAAGAATTGTACAATAATGCTTTATGTATAATACAAAACGTACTTTCATAGCTTTTATTAGTTAAAGATACGATCGGATCTAGAATCGAGGACAACAAATGAAATCTAAGAATATCTAAAAGGCGCGAAGAGTATACTTATCAGAATAAAATTAATTGATCATTGAATGAATGTCCGATAGAATTAATCTGTAAGGGGCGTAGCTGCCTATACGCCAGCACGCCATGGCGTGCACATCTTTTAGTCCAAAAAAAAATTACTGTGCATTTTTATAAAATTTATTATTAAAAAATGATTATATCGTCATATAAAAAATTAAATTCCTAAAAGATTCCGTGTAAACTTACTATGCCTGCAGGCCTAACGTTATATATGTAATACCTATAGTTAATCCGGATTTACAAACTCTTTTCATAAAAATTCCAATTTAAATGCGCGTAACTGTATTTCCGATAATGAAATGACTGGCATGGTACGTATTATACAAACTAATCAATAATGTCAAAAACACCCGAAACGAAACCCAAATCAAAGCAGTCGAATCAAACTATAGACCGGTTTTTCAGTAAGGTTACGAAACCGGTTTCAACACCAGACAAATCTGAGCAAAATACATGTATTCCCGATAATGATTCAGGGGCATCAACCCCTTCGAAGGAATCACCTCCATCATGTTCATCTTCGACGATTTCTGCAAGCCTCCCACCCTACCCAGATATTGCCACGTTAGACGACTCCGAACTGCTTGTGAAGGAAACAAAAATGAAGATTTTGACATGTAAATGGGAAAATCCCCACACTTTCGATTTTCCTGCAAGGTAAATATTAAACCAATAATGAAAAAGATCTCTTGACAGTTGTAGGGAAATAAAAAGGAAATTAAAGATTGTTGACATTATAGTACATGTAACCTGAATATCTTCGTCATTCATTTTTATGACATTTCTAAAATAAGCATCTACGTTATGGTACTAAGAAATCCAATGCCAGTGTGATTTTTTGTTATTGCTTCCATAGGGACTTTGGAAATCGTCGACGCCGTTTATCTGCTAAATGGCTTCTAGATCACCCTTGGTTACGATACAGCATTCAAGATGATGCCCTATACTGTGGTCCATGTGTTTTGTTTGGCCGAAAAGAATGCAAAGAAAAACTTTTCATAAATAAAGTTACAGATTGGTCAAACTTACCTGGTTTCATCAAACGTCACCTTAGGGAAAATTCACCACATTACACATACCAAACAATGGCCGAGGAATTCATACGAATTTACTCTAAAGATGGCGATGAAGAGCCCATCTTGTATAAATTATCAACATTTAGAAAGGCCCAAGTTTTAAAAAATCGTCATATTTTGAAGAAAATTATGGAAGTACTTCTGCTTTGTGGAAAGCAAAATATACCCATCCGTGGACACGTTCCGGAACGCAGTAATTTCATAGCAATATTGCATTCTATGGCGCAGGGTGATGAAATACTTGCTGAACATCTTTCAGGGAATCGCAAAACTCTCTACACATCCCCTGACATTCAAAATGAAATTATAAATTTGCTAGCAAACCAAATCCGAACTGCCATTGTTGCTGATTGCAACAAGAGTAAATGTTTTGCGCTCATAGCTGATGAAACCACAGATACTGCGACTCGAGAACAGCTTTCTGTTTGCCTACGTTACTTGGTTCGGGATCAAGTGAGCAATGAAATATCTATTAAAGAGGATTTTCTTGACTTTGTTATGGCACGTAGCACAAAAGGTGAACATCTAGCCGAACTTTTGATTCAAACTCTTCAAGGGGCTGGTATAGATATTGCAAAAATGAGAGCTCAGGGGTATGATGGAGCAGCCAATATGTCTGGAAAGTACAGTGGGGTACAGGCAAGAATACGGCAGGTTGTACCAGGTGCGCTATATGTACATTGCAAATCCCACTGTCTGAACTTAGCCGTTGTGCACAGTTGCAGTAACAAGTCGATTCGCAGCGTAATGGCCACCGTTCAAGAAATTGCATTTTCTTTTGATTTTTCATCAAAGAAGCTACAGGCTTTCTTTGATGAATTGGAAGCAGACGAGGCAACGAAAGAAAAAATGGAAAAGAGAACTAAGCTTCGGACTTTATGTGAGACAAGATGGACAAGTCGTGCGGATGCTTTGTTCACTTTCAAGACATCTTTTCCGGTAGTTGTACATGCGCTTGAGAGTTTGCACGACCAAGGTGATGATAAAGCAGGACAGCAGGTTAACGCAGTTACGAGATTTGATTTTATCATTGGTCTAGTTGTTGCCGAGCACGTCCTACAAAGCACTGTTCACCTTTCTCTTTTCTTACAGGGAGTCGAATGCGATCTACTTGAGGCAGTCAAGGAGTGTAGAGTTGTTGTTGAGATGCTGAGGCAGGAAAGGGAAGATGATTCAGTTTGGGACGAGTTGTATCAGGTGGCATTAGATTTAGCTGCACCGCTACAAGTGGATGAAAGTATGCCAAGACGGTGTGGAAGACAGACAGGGAGAGCCAATCACCCAGCTGATACTCCCCGACAGTATTGGCGCATTTCATTGTATTATCCATTTGTGGATCACGTTATTATGGAACTCGATTCGCGCCTACTTAAATCCGAGGATCGTTTCATGGCGCAATACCTTCTTCCCATATATTTAGAAAATATTACCAATGAACATATTGCAGCCATATACAATGCCTTTCAGGACGATATCATATTGTCTTTGGAAGAGTTTAGGAGAGAAGTTGCCCGTTGGCGCACAAGATGGGGATTGACGGCGCAAGATGAGAAACCGCGCACACTTTGCAGTACATTAGATTCTATTAATTCAGCGCTATATCCAACAATAGAGTCCATTTTATTCATATTGCTAACCATGCCGGTAGCAAGCGCAACTGCAGAGAGGTCCTTCAGCGTTTTGCGGCGACTGAAAACGTACGTCCGTTCCACTATGAGAAATGACAGATTGTCATCGCTTGGACTTCTCAATATTCACAGAGATTTTAAAATTGATATAGAAAAAGCAATGGAACAATTTGTTAATGCTAAATCCAGAAAAATGGATTTTGGAGAATTTTAGGTAAAGGCTAAACGATAAAACACAAAACATGACGCCGCACGTTTTGGGGAAATTAAAGGATGACTGCACTTAAGGACATGCGGAATTTGCGACAAAATAATCTTTCAAAACAAGCATTTTTCTTTTCATTGCAAGAATGATCAACATCCAATCTACAACTTTATGTAATTACGCTTAATAAAAGTGTGTATTTACGAAGTTCGAATCTGTTTTCAAAGGCAGGGGTCATCACAATTTCTTGAATCTCCGTTCAATAATGAGGACGCCCACTTTTTTACTGACTTTATACATAGTCAGCGCTTGTTTGTCTATTGTTCGCCGTTTAACAGTAGTTGTATATTTGCATAAATAATAATGTATCAAAAGGAGATTAATAGACAAACATGCGCTCATGGTTAAAAAGAGAAAAAAATGCTTCTTCTTACATTCGCTCTCTGTGTTGTAACCAAGGATTGTGACATGTTGAATATTATAATTCACCACGTGATTTCTTACTTCAGGTAACTTTGTGAATACTAAATTCCGACACGTGACTTGTAAGGAAGCATGTTTTGTGCTAACTAGGACATTGTGTTCGAACACATTAAGTCATCTGGCATTGATATAAAATCTGCTTTAATTACATTGACGTGCTCATATTGTTAATTTCGTTTTGAAACCTTTGTCAGAAGTGTATTTATGCCATACAGAATGGAGAGGAGATTGGAAAGAGTGATCACATTCGCTTTTTCAAACATGTCATTGTTATTTATCAGCTGTTTATGTAGTCTAATTTTAGAGCCATTCTTACAATGTTAGCTCCACCTCTCATGCATATCTAATGTTCAATCAAGGGCAGGTAAGTGTAAATTCACTATATTTGGAAAGCAGTAAGGACAAAAAACATTGAATCATTTTATTGTATCACAGTCTAAAATGATTTTAAGATTTAAAATTGGTTCCAAATTGACAGGATTCTTTCATAAACATACAAAAGTGAGATAAGGTTTAGACATAAAAGCAGCACAAGCAACCGAAAAAGACCCAAAAAACAGGCGTTAAGTGCAGTCATCCTTTGCTGGATTGAAATTGTTTTGTTTTATTTTCATTATTTAAAAATTAGACAAAAAATGGAACTAAAAATACCTTTTAAAGTAATCACAAAAATTCAGACAATGCACTTGATTTTATAAAAAAAAAAAAAAAAACATAAATATTTTTTAAATATTAATAGATCTATTATTTTTTGGTGTCATAAATCAAAATATCGCGAAGTTGACTTCATCTCGTAGCATACGTTATATATTTAAAAATACCGTAAATTTTGTTCCGTCTAAACGTGAAAACCCAGACCCCCTGCCTTTTTGGGCGTGCACATCATTTTCGTCTAGCTACGCCCCTGGACTAATTAATATTGTAAAGGGCTTAATTTCAGAATAAATGTGTAAATTACTTAATTATCTCGGGTTGTGCATAATTTATATTCATTATCGGGAAACACAGTTAATTACCAGGAAAATTGTCTATGGAAATATTTGTTTACATTGTATCAAAGATTATAATCATATCTCTTATCAGGCAGGTAATTGTAATTTATTACACGTATTGAAATCTGAACAGTATACCGTTACGGCTATCTTGCCTTTTGTGAGACGACTGGTTCCTCAGGTGGGGCTACTATAAATACACGTTTCATTTGTTAAAATTATACTTTTCTACGTTTAAATCAATCATTTATTTCAAACATTGACAAATATCAAATGGAATTTCTTATTTTACATCTAAAAAGTCTTCATACAATTTTACTTCCTATATAAGTATACCTACGAGAGTAGGATGATGCATATTTAAAATAAAACAGATTTTATTTATTTCATCGAATATTCGAATACTTTCATTGAATATTCGAATATGAATTATTGACAAAATTGACATCCCTACTAATTACTCAAACTCTGCTCTAGATAAAGCAATATCTTGACTAACATTCTTCGAAACTTCAAACACATTTCATATACTGTATATTTACTTTTACAGTAATGATTCAAGTTTCTCATGATGTTAAAATAAGTGGCGGAGGGTTACAGGGCAAATTCAAAATAGACCAATTCCATTTCCATTGGGGCAGCAACTCCAGCATAGGTTCTGAACACACGATTGATGGGGCACATTACCCGTTAGAGGTAAGTTGTTAAAATGCAATCAAGTCTCGGTCGTTAATCCGGACACTCGTGTTCCCGAGCACATTTTCCGGATAAATGAAGCCCGATTACTGTAACATATTTTGTATATATAAATTGAATTTAGATTTTAACATATTTTGTATACATAAATTGAATTTAAATTTTAACATATTTTTTATATATAAATTGAATTTAGATTTTAATTGTTCCCCGCCTACTTTGACCGGGAGATTAAGCGTCCGGGTTATTAGCTTCCGGTTTAACGAGGTTTCACCGTAATTCAGTAAATACAAACTACTAGTATATCCTTTTTATTATGATGAAATAAGATGAAATACCTGTAGTTGCTACAAGAATACTAGTACTTGTAGATTTCAATTTCATCATGTCCATGTGTATAAGATTGTGTCACCGTTCTTATCAGTTTGATCCATGAGCTTCAAGATTTCCAAGATTACGCCAGATGATGAGTAAAATATGGAGAAGACTTTAACACGTCGGAATGGATAAAATGTGTAAAATGGATGTTGAAATCGCGTATTAAACGTATGAGGGGTAATATGAGAACTACTAGTATCTTTCTCTCAAGACTAAAGAATAAGATAGATCACGTGATCAATATCTAACAGTCTCAGCTGACAAAGCAGGTAACAATATAGTCTTTATAGTAATGATCATTGTTACTGAATGCTACATTTGCATTTTGGAGGAACCTGGATTTAAATCTACAAGTGGTAATCCAAGTTTTAGTCATAGTTCTCTTTCAAAGGCAGAGATTCTTCAGAATCGTATGTCAGTTTAAAATATATTTCAATATTCCCAACAATTTAATAACCATACTTATATTCTAAAACACCTTATAAACAAAGACCTAGCGGAATCTAGAAAATGTTCTGCCAAACCTGTTTCTTTACTTCTCACAAAGATATTAACAGGGATGAAGAAATAACTTCAGCAGTACTGTGCAACAACATAATATATTATATTTGAGAAGTGGTATTTATCAAAGGTAGATACTACTTTTAGGAAATTTAAATCGCAAAATTTATAGCCAAAGTCAATAGCATCAAAGTGTATGACTTTTCAACACTTCATACAACCATTCCCCACGATAAATTGATGACCAGGCTTTTTTTTACATCATAGGCAACTAACTGCTTATTCAATAAAAGCTGAAGTCGCAGATTTTCATATCTTGTGATTGGTCATCTACAAACTTACTTTAATGGTTAAAAACATTCTGTTTCTACACACAAGTACTCTGATGTTGATATTAAAAAGAAGCTTGAGTTCCTCATTGACGTGTTTGAGTTCTTTGGAGACCAGGTCCTCCAACAATCTGTTGGGTAATGATTGTGCTCCTTTATTAGCAGATCTGTTTTTGTATTCTTTATTCAAAAACTTCTACTTGAAGTCTCTTGCTGTGGTCTTGAATTCGACATTAGATATATGGAAGACATTTTTTTTTCAATTAACAATACTAGTATTAATTTTCATTCATACGTCGATTCGATATACATCCCATCGATCTCAAAATTAAAGACTCCACAGAGTTTGATACATCTGTTTCATATTTGGATGTTTTACTAGAGAAAGACGTTGGTAGGAAATTAACAACTAAACTTTATGAGAAATATGATGAATTTAACTGTTCTAATCGTTGACTTCCCTTATTCGTGTAGCAAGATACCATTATTACATACATATGGAGTGTATGTCTCCCAATTGATTCGATATGCAAATGCATGTTCTGCGTACGAGCAATTTCTAAAACGAGACTGACTACTGACAAATAAGTTATCAATACAAGGGTAGCAACAATTTCGTTTGAAGTCAACATTTCGTGAATTCTATGGTCGATACAATGAACCTGTTTGCAAATACAATCTGTCGTTAGGTCGAATGTTTACTTGCTTCTTTTTTGATACAAAGTGTCAGGCCATTATTTTCATGCTGAATTTTCTAAGAATTTCTCTGTTTACCGATCATGACAAGGGGCTGACGGCGAAAGCGACAGAGGATGCTAAGTTCTCCGTAGCACATGATCCCACCTCTGATATTTTCAGAGGTCAGAGTTTGCTCTGCTCAAAATCCTTTAATTGAACTTTTGAGCATGATTGTTTTTCGTTATCTTCACATTTCATTTCGTTGATAGAGTGGAGTTCCTTGTTTGATTTTTTATGCATTTCTATGCAATTATATTAATTTTATCCATCGGTAATGTTTATTCTATCGATTAAATTTCTGCTGTCTACGGAAACCTAAAAAACTATAGCCTTAATTTGAAAGCGCCTTATCTTACTTACATTTTCCTCTTAAAATTCCGTGGATTTTTTTTTTTTGGGGGGGGGGGGGTCACTTGTCATATGGACCGTTTTAAATTGATAAACCCATGGTATCTCCTGTTTTAATATTCCTAAAATAAATTTAAATAATGTAATTTTACTTTATTTTTAGTTGCATGTGGTTGCACACAACGATTCCTATTCAAATTTCAATGATGCAAAGAATCACAGCGATGGCCTAGCAGTTTTCGGTTATGTCTTTCAGGTAAAAAAAAAAAACATATTGGAATCATAGTTTCTGTTCGTTTACTTGTTTCCATGAAAACAGACTTATCTCCAGGGGCATCTAAGAAAACTTGCACATACCAGGTATGGAGAATCCATGGATATGTGTGATGCAGACTGGCCTACATTTCATGCTTTAATGAGTTCTGTTGAATTCAACACTTAAAAACATGATAAGTTTTAATGTCCTTGCAGATAGGCCCTACAAACAACAGCCATTTTGATCCATTCTTCTCCCATTTGTCAGATGTGTCAAACAAAGGTATGGCAATAGAAAATCAAACAAAGGCTAGAAAATCAAATGTTTGGTAAGATAAAAATCAGAAACAGGTATTGTAATAGAAAATCAAACACAGGTATCACAACAGAAAGAAATAAAAGTCATGTTATAGGAAATCACGAAGGGGTATTATAATAGAAAATCAAAATCGGGTACTGTAATAGAAAATCAAAATCGGGTATCATAATAGAAAATTAAAAAAAAAGATATACAGCAATAGTTTTTTTTAAAGTATAGCAACAATGGTAATGAACAGTCAAGAAAGTGTATGGTGATAGTTCTATCAATAAACACAGGCATGTTAATTAAAAATCAAAAGAAGATATGGCAATACAAAATATTACACAGGTAATAGACAACAAAACATAGGTACTTATAAAAGAAATCAAACAAAATTAGTGCAATAAAAAAATCATAAGACTATATGGCAACAGAAATTTGAAAAGAAATAAGTCAAACAAATCATATGTTTGCATGACAAAGGTAGGGAATCTATATACATATGTACTTATTTAATATTTATTTTTATTTGAATTTAGATGAACACCATGAAGTAACATTCAAACTTGATGACGTGATGGAATCGTCAACTATGACATCATACTTCCGATATCACGGAAGTTTGACAACTCCAGAATGTTTTCAAAGTGTCACATGGACGGTATTTGATCACCCCAAAAGCATTTCAGAAGCTCAGGTATTTATATCACATAAGTTAGGAATACTTATACAAGAACAAAACTTTGTTACTAGTACTCAGTGATAATCTGACAGTGTTTCATCACTTTCAACCAAACAGAAAAGAAAAGAATGAACGATAGTGTAGGAAAAGGGTCAGAAATTTCATCCTTTTGTATTGGTTTGTTTGTTTTTGGTGGTAGTATGATGATAGATGCATTGAACTAGGTATTGTGGGGGGAAAAAGTGAAGAATGTACCAAAATGAATGAAGTAAAAAGAGAAACTTCTGATAGCACCAAGTGGGTATTGGATATTATGAGAGATCATGCATGAACTGTTTTTCTTGTTAATTTTAGATGGAGGCGCTCCGAACATTGCATTCAGACAATGGAACCACAATCATGGAAAAGAATTACCGCCCTGTTCAACAACTCAATAATAGGATAGTCCATAAATACAAGTACACACACTCTGGAGCTGTGACACGGCTTAGCCCTTCTATCTATTGCCTATTTGCAGGATTTTTATCCTTTGCCAAATTTATATTTGTATAACCAGTTATAGACTCTTTATTGATGTTTGCCATACAAATCTTAGGCCACCCCAATAAATTTTTTTTGTTCGTCGGACCCGCGCGCTCGTATTTAAACAAAACTATACAAATAATATTAATTTCAATTTCCCGCACCATGGAAATTCTGTGCTATATTCTATTCCATTTCCGCTCTATTTTTCGTATTTTAAATCTGCTTACTCTGCAAATCAGAAAAAATATAATTGTCCGCTCAATTTTTTTCACGCTCCGCCCAAAAATTTTGCCTACAAAAAAGTAATAATATAATTATTTAACCGCTTGCCCGCTCGTACTTTTTTTCATCAAATGTCCGACGAACGAACAAGGAATTAAATTGGTGAATATTTAGTGAATATTTATCGTTTTGCTGCAGTCCTCGTACAGATAAAGGAAGAACAGTTTTGACCACAGCAAGAATGATATTTCTTCCATCCGTTGTGCGTTTTCTTTCTTTAACCTTTAGTGAGTACATGTATATAGAGACACATAGCTGGATAAAAATAAAATCCAGTCTCTATAAACGTTGAAGATTTCTCTTATCGCGTTTTCACTTAATTAAAATTAAACTTTACTTAATTAAAATGTTTACTCCCCGGCCTTCTCGCTTTTTCACCATCGGCTGTTTTACGGGGCATAACGTCATCAATTTTACACCACCAAAAATCTTACACAATGAAATAAAGACGAAAACATTCTTTTTTCCTTAAATTATTTTGAACTCTACTTCAATCTTGGTTTTTTACATCTGCTTACATGCATTCAATAATTATTTCCTGTAAGTGATATCAACTTGATAAAGGGGTAAACATGTGATATTTGTAAGTAATGCAGAACCAATAAAAGCAGTTATTTTGACAGAACTGTCTCTATTTATAGTCTTCCTGTACATTCATTAGATCAAATGATTTTAAGCACCATTGATGTGAATTACCTTATTGAAATGTGAACGTGTTATGTAATGTGTGTTGTTAAACTTTTCGAAATGACGAATATACATTTTGTGATATTCCGATGTAAAATGTACTATATTTCTCCTAATAAAATAACAAATATTTACACGTGTACATTTCTTATAATATACATGTACGTCTGATTGATTATGCGTCCTTTGGATGTGTGTTGTTGGTCTTACTAATATTTTAGGGTTACATTGACAGCCAAATTGAACCTGATTCTTGATGTAAGTTAGAATGACATTTGTGGTTGGATTGATTTTGACCTTCTAAAAATGACCTTGGTTAAAGGTCGTGAAACAATTTTTGAGTCAAATGTCATGTTCTAATTTTTTAATTTACTGCTGTTGTAATTTAATACAAAATGTAGAACATGAAAACTTCTTAATTCTACAAAACCCTTCCATTGAAGGTGGGGGTTTAATATCTTCATTCTCGACATTGAACTGAAACTAATCAATAGTTAGAAAAATGTTTTAATCAATTAACAACTTTTTGAAGAAAATATTAATCCATTTTTATACTCGCTTCTAATATCAAATAGTAAGCTCCACGGTCAACTATAAATTTGTCGGGAAATTGACTTATTAAACAATCTGAAATTAAAGAAACTTATAATGTATGTAAATCATTCAATATCTTTAAAAAAATGTCTCTAAGAAAATGTAAAAAGCATAATTACTTTATAATAAGCTAATGCTTCAGATCATAAATAAACATGTTGAACAACAATATACATGTACATGTACATTTATACAATAAAATGCCAGTAGCAAATCCCTAACCTCTGCCTTTTAGTACTTGTTTAGTACACTGTACATTGTTTATGTGATATTGTAAACAGAACAGAACATTTATTTTCTAATTTAGAACCCATAACAGACAAGTATGAAATTATTACAATAATAAGGAAAAGTTATGCCAATGGATAGTATAACAATTTGTAAATGACATTGCTCATTTCAACAATAATATTGTACTATTTCAGTTAAAGGGAATACTATATATAAAAGTGTATGGCTACTACAACATGTTATCATTTATGAATTTGCCCACAGAATTAAGAGTTTCTTTGTCTTCAGTATTGAGTAACCAAAAAAGTTTTTGTTCATCATCTAATGCCGAGAAATTTGGAAATTTACTTTTAATTGATTGAAAAATTTCTTTTCTTTGATGATCATATTTTTTACATCTTATCAGAAAATGAGTTTCATCATCTACACTGTTAGAGTATAAGATGTGGATATGTGTGTCATTTACTGATCATTTCTTTTGACGGAACTCGTAGTCACGTCCACACAATATAAAAGATTTCCACAGTAATCAAGTTTCACTTTTATCATAACAATGCCTATTAGCCTATAAATAGCTAGCATTCAGTGGGGGAAGGTGAAATATGAAGATAACGAACAGTGATCATGCTCAAAAGATTGAATCAATAATCGGAGTAGAGCAAAAACCGAGGTCTAAAAACATCAAAGGTGGGATCAAGTACCATGGAGGAGTAAGCATCCCCTGTCGACCGGTCACACCCGCCGTCTGTTCCTCCTCAGGATCGAGTAAACTGAGAAAAAATCCGTAGTCAGTTCATCAAGAAATAATGGCCTGACAATTTGTATGAAAGACGTCAGTCAACATTCGACTTAACTGTATTTGTAAACAATGTCATTGTATCGATCATAGAATATGCGAAAGGTTGAATTAAAACGAGATTATATATATATACCCTGTAACATCAACTTGTTTGTCAGTAGTCTGCATAGTTTACAAAGAATATGCTCTTGTGTATCGAATCACCTGGGAAACATAAACCCATATACAGGTGATAATGGTATATTGCTACAGGAATAAAGGAAGTTGATGATAGAAAATGTTAAGTCATCACTTTTTAGTTTAGTTGTTAGTTTGCCAACAATGTTTTTCTCTAGTAAAATATCCAAACATGAAGCAGACTCCGAGGTGTCAACCTATGTTGTTAACACTACATGGCGGATCTAGAGGGGGCTCAGAGGGTCCCCCTTTTGTGATCAAAAATATACATAAGATTAATAAATCTTTTGGGGGGATATGATATTCTATTGATTATACCTAAAATATAACCAAAATAAGTTGAAAACTGTTTTAAAAAACGCCTAAAACCTAAAAGTATTCGGGAGCTTCGTTCCTTGGGCCCCCACCTCGAGCCACGACTGGTCCCCCCTTTTTTTTAAAGAATCCTAGATCCGCCACTGGTTAATTGATAAAACGTCGTCGGTATATCTTAATGTCGAATCGAAGGCCAAGATGAGAGACTTTTCTTTTCATATAAAAGTTTTTGAATAAATTCTGCTTTCAGGAATACAAGAACATGTCTGCTAATTATAGGGCACAACTGGTACCATTGCGAAAAATTGTTGGAAAACCTTGTCTCCAATGACAACATAGATACTGTCGATGAGAAGTTTTATTATCAACTTACAGTACTTGTGTGTAGAATCAGAATGGTTTAGTAACAAAGTAAGTTTGCAGCTGACCAATGACAACGTATGTAATCTTATTAAAACAAGATGCCCAAGGGCCTTACCGGTCACCTGAGTACCGGTATAATACAACACTGTAAAGGATCCAATGAAGTATGAAATAAAACAAAATAAACTGAGAGATGCCCAAAACAAGAGAAATAAGATAATCAGAGATCAATAAAATAGTTACAATTCAGAATAGTTCTCAGTAATAAATCATAAAGTAGATCTATTTACTTGCTAGTATTTATACACTCCTTTCTGTCACTGTCATCATGCAATTCAATAGTGCTTGATAACACGTAGTAAACCCAACACATTCCATAACAAATTGACCTCTCTTGGTCTTTGAAGAGCACTGTAAACCAACTTTTATTCGCGTGCGAGAAATATCCGCAAGTTTCGCGACCTACCTTAATTAGCGAATATTAATCGCCGCAAACCAATTATTTGTGGAGAATATTTCCTTAGTCACCAAAATTAATCGTCGCGGATTAATTTCAAACTGACAAATCGCGAATAAAAGATGACGCGAATAATAGTAGGTTTACAAAAATAAAGTATTTTTGTCCCATTTTTATATATCTATAATTTACAAGTCTACATGACCATTAAAAACTATGAAAGTACTTTTTGTAACAGTATTATACATTAAAAATTCTTTTTTAATTCCTTATTCAATTTGACCTATCAATTACAAATGATACAATATTATTTATTTACAGTAATTAATTATCATATTGAGTAAATAGGAAAGGGAAATACCTTCTTTCAGTAGAGTACAAATATCCATACAATACACTGTATCAATGGAGGTCTGTCCAGCACCAGAACACTTAATTGATCCAGTGGTCAAGAATTTTACAAATCTGATAGAAACACCCTTGCTCATCACAACTAAGATTTTCAAAGAATTTATGCATTTCATTAGAGTCCTGTCCTAACACCAGACCCCCTGACCCTGGGATCACGAATTTCACAATTTTGAAAGAGGCATCCTTGTTTATCATAATCATGCACTTAATTTATCTGCTTAAAAAGCAGAAGTAGAGAAGAAGATTTTCAAAGAAATAATGCATTTTTACTATATTATCAATACAGCACCCCCCCCCCCCCCCCGACCAGAACCCCTAACCCTGGAGCCATGAATTTCACAATATCAGAAGAGCCATCATCCTTGCTCAACATCACCATGCACTTACTTTGTTTGCTAAATACCCAGGGGCAGAGAATAAGAATTTTAAAGAATATATGTATTTTCACTTTAAAATCAATAGTCCCAGAGCACAAACACCAGAATCCCTGACCCAGGACCCATGGATTTCACAATTTTTAAGGAGGCACCCTTGCTCATCATAATCATGTATTTACTTTGACGGCTTAATACCCAGGAGCGGAGAAAAAGGGTTTTAAAGAATTTACAACTTTTTACTATATAATCAATACAGCCTAGTCCTACATGTAACGCCAGAACCCCTGACCCACAGGCCATGTTTCACAGTTTTGAAAAAGGCATCCTTGCTCATCACAATAATGCACTTAGTTTGTCTGCTTAATACCCAGAGCGAAGAAGAAGATTTTCAAAGAAATAATGCATTTTCATTTAGTATCAAAACAGTCCACCCCCCACAAGACTAGACCCCCCCCCGGGGGGGGGGGCATGAATTCCACAATTTCGGAAGAGACATCATTGCTCAACATAACCATTTGCTTACTTTGTTTGCTAAATACCCAAGGGCAAAGAAGAAGATTTTTAAGGAATATATGCATTTTTACTATATGATCAACAGAGCTCCGCCCTCACACCAGAACCCCAGACCCCGGGGCCTTGAATTTCACAATTTTGGAAAAGGCATCCTGACTCA